GTTTTGCTCAGTAATCAAATGGCTGGATGTAGATATTGCCTCTACAAGATCTATAGAGAAATGTCGAACATTTCTTCTCATAACTTATTTATATAAATCTTCCATGTTTGAAGTCAAGAAACTATGACAAATCAAACAAGAATCTTTGTTCATTCCGCTGTGTCTAGCGTATATATCCTCACTCCCAGCTTCTTAATTCGTCTTTTTTTTCTAAACTTTTTTCTAAAATCGGTAGAATATAGTGTTATATAGATAGCTCAACGGTTTTCACCACTATCGTAAGCGCAATAGAAAAATGTTAAATAGTTGACAAGATGAAATTACTTTTTTTTTATCAGTAACAATAATGCTAAATTAAATAACTATTCTTTTCTGAAGAGCAATTTTCTTAGAGATGGTGAATGTAATGAGATGAAAAGAGACGATATGATAAGGCGTAATAATTTTTCATCATGCTACAACCAAGAAAATTTTCTTCCTGTCCTATTTGATATATTTTTCTTCGGTGGATTCAAAACTTAGCAAGGATAGACTTAATTGAGTATATATAGTGAGAAAAGATCAGTTGAAAGTACATCTTGTGTCTCCAAGATTATTTTTTTAAAGATGAACACTAGTTTATCAAAGAATCTTAAACTATATAGACCCGATATCGATTATCTTGATTGAATAAAAACTGATCTTATTCTGATTCTTTCAGTTCGATATACTAGGCACAATTATAATCGCCAAAATCGAATGCTTCACCGTACTTTCGTTCGACACGTAACTGTCTCCAATGAGAGTAGAAACTCGTAACAACCTGATTTTCGTTTCGAAATAGGCTTGATCTCGAAAGATCTATTTCATGACATATGTCCAGCTTCAACAATGTTTACTAGAACGCACTGTACGATAGGGATGACCAACCGTGCTCAAGTGATATTACAGATTTCAATGAAACTTCGCACGTGTGCAGTCTCAAGTGAGATGTCAAAGCGCCAAAAAGTTTTTCTTCTAAAACTGTTCTCTTGTTGAGATATTGAAATCACAATACAGGCACCATAAGGTAAAAAATTGACAATGATCAATGCTGTACCCATTCCTTGCATATGTGGCAGATGACTTTGGAATCTAGTTGAGATTGGAATAGCGCTTTTGTAATTTTCTAATGAGAAATATACTTAACATATAAAATTAGAAACAGCATTATTACAGTTACTATTTTGTTTATTTTTCTGGAGTGTGGGTGTAGGATGTGAATGTGGGTGTGGTTAACTTAAAGAAGTACACTCACACCCACACGCACATCCACACCAACCCACACCCACACCCACACCCACACCCGCACCCACACCCACACCCGCACCCACACCCACACCCACACCCACCCACACCCACACCCACACCCACACCCACACCCTGGGATAGCATTAATATTAATAAATCAGAATAAATCCTCAATAAAGAAATAAGTCCTCTAGAAAGAATAAATCCCGAAAAAATAAGTCCCGGTATTCCCTCAAAAAAACTGGCCTTATCCGCCCTTCTCCTTTCAATTAGAGCTCATAAACGCTAGCACACAAGGCAACGCTTAATACCTGTGCACATATTTGTTTTAATGTGCTTCGGTTGCATACTGCTCAGAAAAACGATCAAATTTCAATTAGCGCTGAGTAACGTACATACACAAAGCAGTAGTTAATGCCTATGTAAAGCTGATGCATAACGGCTCGAATGCCTCTGCTATCAGTTACAATTTAAAATAGACACTCACCTATAAATTGCCTATCAATGATCGACACAATCATTACTATATCTACAATAACCGGTAAAAACGCAAAAGAATGTATATTCTTCGTCGTTCGTGTGTTATTCTCTTGGTTCTTTTGGTAGTTCTATCATTGATAGCGACTGTTCCTCATCAATCTGCAGCTCGCCTACCGGAAAGTAACGATTGTGGAAACTATTGTTTTAATGGTGGTGTATGTTTAATGGACGATGCCGGTCCTAAATGTATATGTTTGCCTGGATGGATGGGAGCACGCTGTGATGTTACTAGAAATACGGCGCACATCTTCAGATCGCAACCTGCATCGATCCTAGCATCAATACTACTCAGAGATCCGTGCAGTATGGTACCGGATCTTTGTTATAATGGAGGAGACTGTTACTTATTGGATAATGGAACTTTTGCATGTGACTGTCCACCAACATTTACTGGTCTCTTTTGTGAAACAGAACCTCGTATGTGTTTTATCTTTCATTTCGTGAATTTCTACACATTTTAGAACGAGAGAGCTTATGGAATCCTCACACAAGAGTCAACTATAGATAAGAAAAAAAATTTTCGCTCGTAATCTCATATGAATAAGTGAGACTTGAACGTTTTTGGTTAGAGACTCGAAATATAGACGAGTCTCACAGTCAGTATTTCTGCTGTCTTTGGCATTAGGCTTTCCTCTACCCATCTGTTGATTTTCGAAAGAATTTCTCAGAATCTACAGATTTCTCAAAGAGCTGGTTCACGTAAACCACAACCTACGATAAAATACGTTCTTCAATGGGATCCTGAGAATTTTCCATTCGAAATATGGTATGGATAGATATGTCCTTTGTCCTTTAGAGCTAGCTGGTTTTTCAAAATATTTAGATATTGAATTTCAATGAGCATTTTCCAAAAACTTGGAAACCTGCAAGTTGAAGGGGCGCTCAAGGGCTGAGGTTTGCAAGTTCTTCCAATTTCTAGGCATATAAGCTAAATTGGCTCAATCACTTGAGGAACTGATGAGAGAACTACTCCAACTGATTCCAAGTTTTCGGTTTTATATTTTGGTTATAGGTAGGTCTCAATGAGACTAAGAAAAACCTCGAAGTGTTCGTGCCCATAGGCTGCTAGTCCAAAGTTATAGCCATTTTACTGAATTTTTGCTCTATAGAACGGTATCCATAGCAAAGTCAAATCAATGTATTTCGATCTGATATTCTGTTCACAAACAGGTCTTATGATTTCTAGTATGCATCAAAATTTTCAATCAAAACGGGTGCTTTTTTCTTGAGATATTCAATTTTCAAAAAATATCCGCGTATAACAGACAGGTCAGAATAATGGAGATGTCCTGCAAATTGAATATCTCAAAAAGAAAGCATCCGATTTGGTTGAAAACTTTGATGCATGCTAAGAACCATTAGACCTGTTTGTGGAGAGAATATCACATCGAAATAAATCCATTTGGCTTTGCTGTGAATACTGTACCGTAGGCCAAAAATTCAGTCAAACGGCTATTATTTTGGACCAGTAGCCCATGGACACGAACGCTTCAGAGTTTTCTTCTTCTTACTGAGACCTACCTACAGTCAAAATATGAAGCCGAAAGCTCGGAATCAATTGCGATAGTTCCCTTGTGAGAAATGACTTTTATATCACCGATACTTCCTTTTCTTTCGTCCACCGATTCCTTCAAAGGGAATGATACTGATGAACATGACCATAATCCTAAAACTCAATCATCAGTAAAACTCTTATATCCTCTGAAAGAATTGGTCCGTCGATGATTCCTTAGTTGAAGAACCGTAGAAATAAGCAGAACTAGTAATTAGTCAATATTCATCAAAGGAATTAACATCATAATCACACATTGCACGCAACTATGATATAAAATTACCCTCACCATATAACCTTTCTTCAATTAGAGAAAGCGTGACGAAACCGAAGAATTATCAGTTTTGCTGATAGTGCCTAGGAACTGAGGTAGACACCTTGAAGGTACCTTACCTCAGTTCTCCAAAGAACTAAGGAAAACGATATGACATCTACGAGGCAGGAAGAATAGTGTATGGCCAGAAGAAACACCGGAAACTGAGGCAAGGTACCTTTTAGATATCTACCTCAGTTCCTAGGTACTACCAGCAGAATTGTGATAATTTCTCGGTTTCTCGATGTTTTCCCTATCCGGAGAAACGTTGTTGGTAGATGAAATTGTAATCTAGTTATATATCTGATGTTTGATAACGATGTTAATTCCCTTGTAGGGTACTCACTATTAGTTGTTCTTGTTTCTTCAGTTTCTTCACTAGGGCATCATCAACGAGTAAATTCCTCTCAGGAATATGAGGATTTAAGAGTTGATTGAGCCGGAGTAATAGGATCATATTCGTGTGTTGCTATTCTCATTTAGAGGAGTGAATATAGGAACTACGAAGAAAGTATGAGGAATTGAAAGATCAGTTTCCATTTTCTATATAGGTTCGACAGTTCTAACTGATAAGTTTAGAAATTGGAAGAACTTCCATATCTCAATCCTTGAACACTGTTGTATTACTGCGGGTAGACATGAGCTTCCGTAACTAGACATGGATCAGCGTGACTGAACGTGAGGCACCCTTCCCCCTATCAAAGATTGTGAAGATGATGTTGCATCGGACGAAATGCTCTTGCGACGAATTGACATATTTGCCAGAATGCGACCTTCTAAATGTGAGAGAGTTGTGGTTACAAGAAAGAATCTGGAGGACATATGTAGGCCAGAGCCCAAAATGAACCAAGCTTTTCCAGTTTTAATTCGATTCGATTCGACCAAAAAATGGTCGAATCAAACTACCGTTCCTTGTTCAAACCGCTGACATTCACTTGTTTTCACTGTCTTTCTATTAATAACTCGTTTGGAAGAAATCAGAGCACTTGGTTGAGTATATAAGCTGGTTTTTCAGAACTCAGAGCCATGATAGACTCAAATCGAACCGAGAACATACTGTTCGGTCTCGGTTTGGCTCGACAAAGCGCTCAAAGACTTCATTGAAGTTGAGTTCGATTTGTTTTCAGACTCTGATAGGAGTATTGTTTACAACTATTTCCACACGGAAATAGTTTGCGATTCACGATAAATATACCATGCTTTGAACGTTGGGGAAGAAGGTGCAGTATGTGAGGGCATTTTAGAAAAGACTATATCCTCAGACTAATATGCGTTAATTAGTTTCAGCCTGTGCGAATTATTGCCACAACGAGGGTCATTGCAATGTCACCACTGGTAACAGTGTTCCACGGTGCTACTGCAAACCTCCATGGTCTGGACCACGTTGCAAGACTTTGAATGAAACTGCTGCAAATGTAGAGCCAAAAGAATGCACAAATCTGCCAGGAGGAAATTACTGCAACAGGCCCAACGGATCTTGTGATTTCATCAATGGCAAGGTTATTTGTCGATGTCGTTCGACACATACAGGCAGAAGATGTGAAACACAATTGGGTCAACCGCCACTAAGTATACAACTATAATGTAACATGCGTAGTTTTTTTATGTCGATTTTGACAACACATGAAAACCTTAATTTCATGGAGCTCTTTATAAAACAACGGGTAGGCCGGGCTGCCAAAGGGTTTTTTGCTGCTTCCTACTTAAGAAAAAATCGTTCTCTGAAAAGCATGACTCTTTTGTTGGTATAGATTAAACTTTATATAAACAATTTTAAAACATATAATCATTAAAATGAGTAAATCAGCGGTGAAAAATCCAACATACCAAGTGCATGCGCTTGTCATGTTCTCTGAGAGGATCTAATTAGACGGTTATTCTTTTCTTGCTAGATATTTCTTTACTAATGAACGGTTGTATTTAAACAATTCGACAGGCGGTTAGGGTGTCAGTAGATGTGAATAAAGAGTAGGCCCCTTCTCCACCAGCGAAATAAAGAGGTCATGATATTCAGCAAGCGTAGAAAATCTGAGATCAGTTCGTTTATACTTCAGCGGTAGCAATCTCTTCTCTAAATTTCCCATGATAGTTCCTGTAGCGAAGAATGAAGAATCATGAGTGTCTGACCAATAATGCATGCTGTTCATTCAGTTGTGCTTTGTCCCAAAGTGTTCTTCTTCCTCTGTGCACACATCTTTATAAAGAAGTGAGCAAAGGACGAGCGGTTGTGACGCATAGGAGAAAAAGATACAGCCAGATTTAGTGGTCGATCAATTGGTCCAACAACGTATAAAGATGATAGCCCACACATAGAGAATGAAGACGATCAATAATTGTCAATACTATATAGAGCTGCGATGCCAAGCATTGTCGCTTAGTTCTTTCCAAAGTGCTCAGAAAAGGACATGCCCAAGAAACATGTTTTTGAAACTAATTTGGATGTCACTAGTTGATGGCGAAAGTTTAGCTTTGGATCGATGAAGAAACACTCATACTCTCAAACTTGATATCTTCGACTTATACTTTATTGAAAGATGATCTGAGACTAATCTTACGATGGGACTTCGCGGGATAATAAATACCTTTTGAGATGTGCCTTATTTTATGAAATATGGCCTAATAAGGTTAGAAAAGTGTAAAGGATTTTTGCCCATGGGTCCTTCTTCTCGAGTTACTGTCTATTTTGCTAAGCTTTCAAGGAAATAGTGTGGCTTAACTGAGATTACCTTCAAAATCAATTTTCGAACTCAAGCGAAATTCTCCATAGGAATAAGTAGTTCATTTATCAAAATTGTATATTTTCTAGTATCATCTATCCTGAAATGTGCATATCGGAACAAAGATTGCTTGATCGTATAATAACATTTTCAATATTCGTATCTCATATTCTGAGATACTAGAAAATTTGCAGTTTCCACAATGAACTACTTTTTCCTGTGGAGAACTTTATTTGAGCAAAGTTTTAACTCGAAAGCTGATTTTGCTGATAACCTCAGTTGCACCACGGTATTTCCCTGAAAAACTTAGTAAAAGAACCGCAGCTCAAGAAAAAAGACCCACGGACACAAATCTTTTTGGAATTTTCAAGCCTCAGTAGACTCTACCTCATAAGATAAGGCGCACCAGAAAAAGAATTTATCACTCGGCGAGGTTCCTCGTGAGTTACATTCGACGACTCAATTCCTATGTAGAACAGAAATTCAGTAGGTCTAATAATATTTTTGATCACGTTATTCAAATTATATGTTAAAAATCAAGGTTCTATACACTGATAATGATAAATCGAGTAAGTCATGATACTTTGGAACAAGCATGCTTCTCACTTTGTGGAAAAGGGATATGTGTGAAATTAATCTTGAAGCACTTTTGTTGAGATTGGTAGACGCACTAACATACATTTACTATTGATTGAAAGAGGTATTCACAAGTTTTCCCGGTTATCAGTGTGAGCTGCTGGAGCAAAAGACACGAGAATCATTTTGTTCCAGATACGAATATGATACCATTTCTGTCCATGAAAGAGCTCTGGAATCCTTTCTCAAAATTCTCTCAACGCGAAAACAACAAAATATTGCATAGCATGTCTGAAAAACTAGCATTATTTTTCCAGCTTCAACACAGCCTCCAATGACATCACAATCAACGACTTCATCGGGTGATACAATGAGACCACCGACTACATCGCCACTGACACATCCGTGTAAGAAATTGTTATATGCTTTCATATATATCTAATACATGCAAAGAGAAAATTAACAAAATGACCTTCTTCGTAAGTTTAATGAAGACTTATTGAGTCAAAAAACCGGTTATGAGAAGTAGTTTCCTTTACAGATGTTGATATTTGAGAATATGATTTAATGCGAGAAAAGAAAATTTTCTCATAAATGTCTCGTCGTATGTTATTTCACTATTCTTTGCGTGCAGATAAAAGACTTTTGAATGTATTAATACCTACATTGTTCATGAGATCGAAAAATATCTTATTATAGCTAGTGCTGTAAGATGTACACATATAGGATAATGGTCTATCCGTACATTGACTGTAGAAAAAATGGGAACGTATAATACTCTCAATCAGCCCCTTGACTTTTTATTATCTAAGCTTCAACTTCGACTTATGTTCTGATAGAGCTCAAAAAAGATGTGTGAATATGGGTCAACATAGGGCCAAGAATGCAAGTGAAGGTGAAGACAAGGGTAAGAATGTGGGGTCGATGAAGAGAAGATCTAGACGCACGCCCTCACTTTTGCTCGCATTCTCACATCCATCTCGACCCATATCCACACACATTCACATTTACGCCCATGCCGGTAGTCCCACGAACACCTGCATCCTCAAATTAGATATAGGTATATATGACTAATTACTTATACATATATTCTTTAAAAAAATTCTAGCTGGACTCAGGTGTAATCAAAATTCTTGTGGAAATGGTGGTTCATGTTATAACACTGGCAATACCTTTTTTTGCTTCTGCCCTCCACAATTTATCGGTCCACGTTGTGAAACGCCGAAACAATAGACTATCAATGTTGTGAAATCCATCGTACAAAACATTGACTGACTTATCTTTTTATTAACTACTCACTATTTTTGAATTGGGGCATAATAAATATGAAACAGAGAAACATTGTCATCTATCGTCTAATTCACGATCAATAATATCGATAAAATGAGAAATGAATCTCTCAAGTGGTTCAATGAAATCGAACGAGTTAATGAATCTACTCCCATCATGTGCCGTCTGCACGAACTAGCTAATACTACAAATCTGTGTCTTGTATTGAAAGCTACAATTAGGGGTGATCCTTTTGCATCAATTTGATAACAATGAATAAATGTTCAATTTGCCTTTAATTGTCACTGTAGACGATACTTCAACCTTTTGTTATCAAAGAACAGGGAGACCTTGCTGAAACGGAGCAGGACACCTGAAAAATGAATCGAGGAACAGAATGTACTGCAGTGAAAAAGCGAACAGAAAGTTTGACATTTGCCTCTGATTCAAGGTGATTCAAAGATGAAGGTTTACCTTTTGTTAGAATTTAATTCAAAGAGTTTTTCGCAATATAGCTGCTATGGCACGTACATATGATGTGCCACAAGTAAAGTTGTTAGATGTATTTTCCATATATGTGTTGTGGTCAAAATTAAAATTCAGCCGAAATTAAAATTTTACTTAGGGTTGACCAAAAGTTCGTAGAACGATGTTTAGATTTTTATAAAATACTTAATATCGAAAGATTTATTGCATAAATACATAATAAAACATCTCGTCTATAATTCTAACAATCTTTTAGATTAAGTCTATAATATAGTGAATATATGAACATTCCTCGTCCAAAATTCGAGTATATTTCTGAATTACGAACGTTTTCCTTCCTCTCTCTCATACATTTTCTGATGTCATGTACATAAATATTACATTTGATAGTACATATAGAGTTCGAGATCGTTCATTAAATTAGTTCATTCGATTCGCTTAGTTTTTTCGTGTGAATAAATCAGCATTTCCGAATCATGCGTTGTACTAAATATCAAGGGTGTGGAGTGTGAGCGTGGGTGTGACGGTGTGGGTATGAGTGTGGAGTGTGGGTGTGGGTGGGTGTTGTAACGAAATATGATAGAAGGGTTGTTAGTGTGGATGGAGTTACACTTTATTCTATTCCTTCATATTATATAGTCGTATCGTTTACATATAAGGCACACGCTTATATACACGAGTAGAATAGAAGAGGATGAAAAGAAAGAAGATGAGGCTAGGGAGAGAACAGATAGGGTAAGGACAGCAACGTAACAATATATATAATATACGAGTGAATGATGATACAACATGAGAAGCACATTACGACAGAAAGAGAATGAGGCTCAATCATACATAGTTAAGCGTAAGAGTAACACGATTATGCAAACTTCGTAATATAGATTGCATAACGTCCTATAGAGAAAGGAAATATATCACATAAGATGATATATCCATTGGCACAGATGTGAGTATGGATGTGAGTTGGTGGATGTCGGTGTGGATGAGCAGAAGACTTATACCCACATCCACACCCGCCTATTAGATGAAAGATTCGTAATCGTAAGTACCTATGTTCATTCCTTCAATTCTGCATTTCTTAGATGGGTGCTGCAGCTCGGAAAAAGTTTCATGACACGTAAGTGCTTATTTTCAAACCTTCACTTCGGCATTTATACGATGGTGTTCGAGAGCTCGAAAAAAAGATGTCCAATCTACGAAACTTTTTCATTCCTAAAGATTTCATACCCTCGCAACCACCGAGAGATGCTCTGTGATAGGCATCGAAGTTTCATTTAGAGTAGTTGGAGTATGCCAATTAGTCGAGGACTCGAAACTAAGGTTAAAAATTTCGATTGATTTTAATCCGTCGAAATGGACTTTTCGGGTGGTCATGAAGGATTAATCAACCATTTCAATCATCGAGCCCTCTACCCATTGGAAAATGGCACTCCGACTACTCGATCTGAAAATCCGATGCTCATCGCACGCTCCAATCAACGCGTCGAATTATTCATCGAAGGACAGCTTGGGACTGACAAAAAAAATGGAACTCAAGAATTTCGAGAAACCATCTGTAGATTTGAGTTTCTCAACCTCAAAAATGTTCAAGCAAGTTTTATAAAGAATTGTTATTCTCTAAAAATACTTTTGTCTTGATCGAAAAAATGGAATTCAATAGTAATGACTCTCATTTCTAGCTGTAAGGATACGGGGTGTCGGTGTCGGTGTGGATGTGAGGGTGTGTTTTTCTTTGCACTCATGCTACACACTCACACCCACACCCACACCCACACTCTGCTTCTTTTTTTCAAATCTTTATCCGAGTTGAAAAGTTATTATGCCATTTGATTCGATAAGATGGTTATGTATTTCATATGTTCTCAAGATGATATAATTGTTAGAAATTGTAATAGGGTTTGTCCGGCTAACGGTCAACCGGAGTGATTAAAGTAGAAGCTGAATATTTTTAGAGGCTAATAACATCGTATTATAGGGCACACCTTACTGTGTTAGGAAACGTATTTTGTTTTATCTTTTCTTCCAACAGATGAAGAAAATATGTACAACAGAGACTTGATATGTTTTTCAAACATTTTTTACTTTTTACGTACATATAAAGAAAATGATTGAAAATTAGAGCAGTGGTACATATTCTAAATGTGCAAAGTTAGAGCTTTCTTCTTATACAAAGTTCATCTGATCCATGATTATTGGAAGAAAATGGAGGTTACTTTAAAGCTTGATAAATTTTGGCGTGAATGCGTTACCAAAAAGGGCTCTTAGTTTATTTTACGCTACAACTGCAGAGAATTTCCCCGTAATCACTCAGGGTCCTGCGTTAACTTTCTACGAGGTATCCAACAGTCGACTTATTTTTCACATATTCCTTTCTGTTTACAAAAAAATTGGTAACGTACTCACACAACCCATGTTTTTGCATAAAACGTTTTTTTGACCGTATAATTAATTATATGGATTTCTTTTTAGCCAGACAGATTCTACTACCATCAACCTATTGATAGCAAAAGAAAAACTCTTGCGTCAGCAGAAAAGTAAGAAAAATTAGTGCAAACATAGGCTATAATAACAAGTTATTAAAAAAATGATCGTCATAATTCAATGCAAGAAAGTGCCTAGTTTAGATGTAAAATCTTGTCACTGCCTTTTGCGTAGCACATTACAAATGACGATAAATTAATAGGAAAGTAAACACAAGTAATTAAGTATGAACTTAAATTATCAGAAAGTTTTGGTCAAGGCTTTTAAGTACTAGAAAGCTGAGAAACGACATTTTGTTATAAAGATGACGGAATGGGTTAAACCTTAAAGCATTGACATTACCAATCAGGTATGAATGTTTTTCATCAATAGTAAGGTGATAGATCAAACTAGTACTGTGCTGTTGCAAAACAATCTTTCCAGTAGCTACACACGACTTATCGGTGCACCGTTGTTCTTAGCTAGGCATATAAGGCCTTTGGATCCATCAAATTTTCAAAAACTTGATACGGTAAGGAAAGAAATTACTTGACTGAATTCAGAACTAAGAAAAAATCTGCTATGATCAACACCAAGTGAAAAATCGTTTGATACAAGACATATTGATATAAAACACCATTCCTGGATTATCAGATAAAGCCCCCCCCCCCAAAATAGACGGCCACCCTATATTAGAAGGCCACCCTCTG